CCAACCAATGAACAATCCGAAGAAGAAATTAAGAAAATTCTATTTACAATAAAATAACATCAAAAAGAATAAAATAGATAATTAATAGATGGAGCACAGATATTTAGGGCAGCATAACTACTCTGTCTGACAATGTAATGGTGGATACAATTATACTGTATTATTATATTGTCCAAACCAACAGAAGGTACAACACCAAGAGTGCAACCTAATACAAACTATGGACTTTGGATGGTTACAATGTGTCCATCAATGTAGTTTCATCAATTGTAACAAATGCACCACTCTGGTGGGGGGTGGGTGGTGATGATATTTGGGGAGTCTACACATGAGGGGGGCAGGAGATATATGAGAAATCTCTGTATTCTGCACTCAATTTTACTGTGAACCTAAAACTGTTCTAATATATAAAGTCTGTTAAAAAAAAAAACAAAATACTTAGGAATAAACTTAACCAAGACAGGGAAAGACTTGTACAGCAAAAACTATAAAACAGTGATTAAAGAAATTAAAGACATGAATAAATGGAAAAATATCTCATGTTCATGGATTATAAGACTTAATATTATTATTCATACTACCCAAAGCAATCTATATTCGATGAAATCCCAACAGCCTTTTTTGCAGAAATAGATTCATGTGGAATCCCAAAGGACCCCAGTAGTCAAAACAATTTTGAGAAAGGAAAACAAAGCTGGAGGCCTCACATTTTCAAAACATATTACAAAGCTACAACAAATCAAAATGGTTTAGTTCTAGCACAAAGACATATAGACCAATGGAACAGAAGAGACAGCCCAGAAGTAAATCTACATGTGTATGATCAAATGATTTTTTATAAAGGTGCCAACACTACACAGTGGGGAAAGAGAATCTCTTTAGCAGATGGTGTTGGGAAAACCAGACATCCACAAGCAAAAGGATGAAGTTGGACCCTTACCTTACGCCATATGCAAAAATTAACTAAAAATGGATTAAAGATCTAAATGTAAGAACTAAAGCTATAAAACTCCTAGAAAAAAGCACAGAAGAAAATCTTCACAACATTGGAATGGACAATGATTTCTTGGATATGACACCAAAGGATAGGCAACAAAAGCAAAAATAGACCAACAGGACTACATCAAACTTAACAACTTCTGTGCAGCAAAAGAAACAATCAACAGAGTGAAAAGGCAATCTATAAGATGGAGAAGATTTTTGCAACCTATTTATTTGATAAGGGGTTATAAAGAGCTCCCACAACTCAGCAACAAAAAATAACCTGATTAAAAAATGGGCAAAGGACTTTGAATAGACTTTCTCCTCAGAAGATATACAAATGGTCTCTATGCATTTGAAAAGATGCTCAACATCACGAATCATCAGGGAAATGCAAATCCAAACCACAATGAACTATTACTTCATGCCCCTTAGGATGGCCATAATCCAAAAAAGTTGGAAAATAACAAGTTCTGGCAAAAATGTGGAGAAATTGGAACACTTGGTACACTGTTGTTGGGAATGTAAAATGGTAGAGCCACTATGGAAAACAGAATGGAGGTTCCTCAAAAAGTTTTAAGGAATTATCATATAGAGAGAATATAGAAATTCTGTAATCCTACTTCTGGGTATATATACAAAAGAATTGAAAACAGGTTCTCGAGGAGATAATTTGCACTCCCATATTCACTGCAGTATAATTCACAACAGCCAAGAGGTGGAAGCAATATAAATGCTCATCAATAGATGGATAAATTTTTAAAAATGTACTATATGCATACAGTGGAATATTATTCAACCTTTAAAAGGAAGAAAATCGTGTCATATGCTACAACATGGATGAATCTTGAGAACATTTTGCTAAGTGAAATTAAACCAGTCACAAAAAAACAAATACTGCATGATTCTACTTATATGAGGACTCCAAAGTAGTCAAACTCAGAAACAGAAAGTAGAATGGTGATTACCAGGGGCTGGGGGGAGGGAGAAAAAGAGTTCAATGGATATAAGGCTTCAGTTTTACAAGATGAAAAAGTTCTAGAGATCTGTCATGCAACAATATACCTATAGTTACTACAAACTGTACACTTAAAAATGGTTAGGATAGTAAATTTTGTGGGGTTTTTTTAAGATTTATTTATTTTAGAGAGAGTGCATACCAGCAGGGGAGGAGCGGGGAGGTGGGGAGAAAATCTCAAGCAGACTCCCTGCTGAGCGTGGAGCCCACTGTGGGGGCTCTATCTCATGACCCTGACATCATGACCTACCCCAAAACCAAGAGTTGGGTGCTTAACCGACTCTGCCACCCAGGAGCCCCTATATTATGAGGGTTTTTTTTTACCACAATAAAAAAAAAAAAAAACAGATCAACCAATTGCAATGTATGGATCTCATCTGTACCTTGATTCCAATAAGCGATGAATAAATTTATGAGGCAATAGGGAAAAACTGAATGCTGACTGGATATTTGATATTACAAAGCATTAATTTTTTGTGTGATAATTAAATTTTTGTGTGAATGGGTTTTTTATGTGATTCCTCTCCTTTTAGATAGATAATCTGAAATATTTTATGGGTGAAATAATGTCTGGAATTTGCTTTGAAATAATCCAGTGAGGATGGCAAGTACAGGGAGAAGAACACCCCCAAAGGAGGGAATGATGAGGTCACCAGGCACAGACAAAAAAGAGGCAGCAAAACCTTCACACTTACTCGGAAGTTTTGTCCAAGGCAGGCTCTTCCCTAGAAGAAGGAAGGAAACTCTCCTCCACTCCTTGCATTGCCCGGCTCCCAGCCCCAGCCTGCTCTTCTTTCTCCAATAGCTCCCACACAGAAACAGTGCCAGTTCTCAGAAGGCTGCAGTTTCCCAGACTTAGATTTAGGACAACAGGGACACCAGGGCCACTCAGATTCCTCGCTCTTACCCCAGACCTTCTCTTCCCTTACCAGCCAGAGGGTGAGGACAGTATTACCCAAACCAAATACCAAAGGAAGACAGAGAACCCCAGGTTAATTTGTACTGCCACTGGGATTTATATTCTAATAGCTTGATGACTCAGGGAAACCCTTATGATGGGTATCTTCGGTAAAGAGAATACAATTAAAATAATCTAATTTATTGGTATAGTTATAAAAATGGTTCAAAAAGAAACTACTTCCACAAGAAACTAAGTTACAACACTTTAATAATTTCAATAGAACCAACTTCAGGAATAGATATACACACACATAAAATTCAAACAATTTAATTGAACAGTATACCTAAATGCATCAAATTCTTAAAAATCCCCAAAATGGACTCGAGGCCATGGATATGAAAAGGTAATTTTAAAGTACTACCGACTAGAGTAAAACAGACAAGGTTATTACTTTGCATTTACCAATAAGACGACAGCCTGTAGATACATTAGACCTTTATAAGAACACTTCCAGGCAATGTTAGAACAGAGACTCATTAAAAAGGAATACAATTGATCTCAGAAAGATGAATTTATAGCTAACAATTTCTTTGGTCCTCCAAGTCACATCTGTTTTTACTTTAAAATACCAAACATGAGTGTCTAATTCTACTTCTAAATGTCTATTAAGCAGGATAATGTTTATATCACATTAGATTTTAAAAGGAACTCAAAATAAATTACCATTGTACTTCAGAAACTCCAAATATAGAAAAATATAGGAAATACAAGTAGGGAAGAATTTTTTTTTAAAAAAACAGCACTTCCGCCATCTTGTCCCATCATAAGGCAAATGACATCAAAATGGCAGAGACAGGACTCTCAAGGTTATAGTAATCACTGTAGTTAATTCTTCTTAAGGTAATGGAATAAATTTGAAGAGCACAATGTCAACTAAATAAGAGACTTTTCCATGGAATGACTGTGGTTTTGTTTTTGCAGGGAAGTTGGGTTTTTTTGTTTGTTTATTTTAATTTGGCCCAGACTGCCCCAGTGGAGGAAATTTTGAGTCATTAATAAGGCAACAGCTTCCTGGACAAGAAGACCTGTATACCACTTAAACAGTTACGCTGAAGACAAGACCCATATGGAGCACAAGAGGAACCAGTATGGTGGCTTCCAATAATTTCTAGTAATTCCAGAAAATTACAGTACATTTTCACAGATACCAATAATGTAGCTTTTATTGAACATTGGATATCACTCACAATGCAGTCCACAGTTCATTCTGCATGCTTTCCTATTCACAGAAGCTATGGTTCTGCAGACCTGAAAATGATGGACATTCTCAAAAGTTTCTGGAAATACTTAGAAAAATATTTGTTAAGATAAAAAAAAAAAAAGTTTTGAGGCATCTCCAAGGAATACACAAAGTAAGCTTGCAAGAAACTCCTAAAGGTAAAACAGTGAGGACTAGTTATTTGCAGGGTCAGTACTTAAGTCTCATAGAATAATGGCTTTTAAAAAAAGGCCAAGATACCTACACTCTCAGTGGTGTGATATTCTCATCAAGGCACAGAGAGTTAAATGCCTAAATCCCTGTGTGTTGACATGAGAATACACTTGTAAACAATAGGAACTAATTCCCTGTACTTGAATTTAAAAAAAGAATAGAAAGTGGAAATGTGCCTTTTTAACTCACAAAATCAAAAACAGATATTCCACCACCTGCCTTTGGTGACTAACGTTACAACTGGATAGTCAAAAAATAAATATATAAAAAATAAAGTGCCCTGGCAGTTTAATAAATGTGATTAAAGTGAAACCTGTTGGACTCTGAGTTTGCAGAGTGATGCTGCACAGTGTACAAAAATTATTTTAAGCACTACACCATTTGGGGGGATAGTATATTGGCCATAGTTTTCCCCCATTCCCAACATTCCTATGCTTATGAACCCAATTACCATAGTATTTGAACAAAATACTTGTATTTTTCTTCCTTCCCAGCACCCTCAAGGTTATCCAAATGGCAGTGGTTTTGTGCATGTAACTTACACTATGGGCAGTTTCCTTGAAAGTTACCACTAAAAGGTGGCAAGAAGAAAGTAGAGGGCTCACCCCTTTGTTAATTATTTTTATTTGATTTGCTATAAATAATTATTAAACACCATTAGTGACAAGGAATAAAGTTCACATCTGTTAACAATTGAAAATGGAATGTACAAACAATTAAGACCAAACAACGCTATTAGTGACACGATCCTCAAAGCACACGACACACACTGAAGTTCAGCTCTTAATGAGAGTTAGAAACTCTTCCCGAGTCTTTGGGTCTTCCCGGAACACACCCAACATCGTGCTGGTCACAGTTTTGCTGTTCATTTTCTGTACCCCTCGCATTACCATACACATGTGTCTACAAAACAAGACAACAGAGGTGGCTTAAAGAAATAGACAGTTGCTGGTTTGGTTTTTAAAGTCAAAAGCAGGCCAAAAAATTAAATCTGATTATACTGAGTTCACAGCTACCAACTGATCCAAAGATCACTTCTTAGACAAATGTGACCGAAAACTTTTATTTATGTTTCTTAGTCATATAGCTCTTATTCTTAGCAGTGGTTGAATCTTTGATGCATCTAGCAGAAGGGGAAACAAGGGAATTTTCTTCCTAGGTGAAAATAATACAAGGGGTCCACAGAAATAAAAACAACTTCTGGATAAAAAGAAATTCAGAATTCTCACCTGCTCCATCTGTAGGACCCAAACAGCACAATATTAGCTTAGGTATTTGGAGAAATACTGAAGTATGCTGGTGTAACCAGGCAGAATCCAGGGAACAGTGATCCCAGTGCGTGTAAGCAACCTGGTGAAGCTGGACAGCCTGCACTGCACAGAGCTCATGTCATGTCAGAAGAATGGACAAGATGTGTGCAATTCTCATCATTCATTCTAACTTAAAGAAGTTTCTTCAGGTGCCCTTTAGACCCAGTTTTAGCTCCATTTTTTAAAATGTGTGACAAAATATTAGGAAAAGTCTGCTTGGAGCAACAAAGAGCCAAAGAAGAAATCAAGAGAAGACATAAAATGCTACTGGTTGCACAAATCACCACGCTTAGACTGATGACTCCCGACACCCCCACCATCCCCATTGAAAACAAAACAAAACCAGTCTCCCGTACTCTGGTTCCTGTATCGGCCACACAGCAAATGCAAGAGGTAAAAAAAAAAAAAAAAGAAAGCTTCAGGTCAGAGACAGAAAACGTGACAGTGTCGATGATGTGGCATCACCTGGTGCTGGAAAAACAGAGCAGCACTAAATACCATTTCCGTGCACCACGATGACATCATTAAGGACAAATATGGACTTACGTTGCTTCAACCACCACCCCAACTCCAGCAGGCCGCAAGGCTTCTGTGATTGCTACGGCAATTTGTTTCGTCAGCCGCTCTTGAACTGTGGGGGTGACAAGAAGCTCCGTTGAAGAGTCTGACGCAGCGGTCTTTAGAATATTCATTGTCTTTAGAATATTTGGAATCTTAAAAAGCAGACTTCTGTGAGGCATCAGAACCAAGACACACCAGCTTTTACCAGTTTGCTTTGTCTGCCGCCCACAGGAGACAGCTGTTCCATTCCCTCATCTGCAGGTCAGCACCACTGCAGGGAGTGGGTAAGAATGACAACTGTCTCTTAGGCGTGCGGAAGACCAACTGATGACAAGCACCTCCATGCAGATGAATAAATAGCTCGCGACAGGATTAACAAGAGCACTAAACCCAATTATTGAATTGTATGTAAAGCTGAAAACCAAGAATCTAACCTAAACAATGCAGTCCCTGTGCTGAATAAAAAATTCGCCTTTGAAAACATATTAAAGTGTTCACGGCAGCATCGCATCTATTTGAAAACTGACAAAATTTTCAACTACCTATTAGAGCAGGGATTGGTTAAATCAAGCCCCAGCACAGCCGTACAATGGAATGCTAAACAGCCAGCAAAATGAATAAGATAGTTACATGCATGTGGGAAAAAAATGTTTGATTTGTTAAGTGAAAAAAAAAATAGGGGAAAAAAGTGAAGCCCATTACATACAATATGAGCCCATTTAAAAATATAATAAATTGATTTTAAAATGTTGGTAGATGCACAAAATATGAAGGAATGTGCAAATACAACAATGATTTCTTCTGGAGGCTTGAAATACTGCAGACTTTCCCTTTCTAGGTTATATTCCTATGAGGTTTTGACTTTGGTAAGTCATATGTATTACATGTGTAATGAGAACAACAAAAAATACTTTTTCCTTAAGAAAAACAAAGTTTTTCTGTAAATAAAAGTTTAAAAGTTTACCTTGTAATCGTCTACTATAGATTTCTACAATCCTAGAAAAGAAAGAATTGTTTTAGTTAATCATAAATTTGTTTGAAGTGGAATTGGCAAGCCTTCCTCAAAAGACCAAAAGGACTTTATCGAAGCAATTGTAGGGTGTGGGCAGGAGATTAATGCTTCTAAGAGGAGGAAAGATACAAAAACTACATGGAAATGAGAAGTGGGAGGGTCCTGAGGAAACCATCAAGTATGACACAGAGTGGCAGTTCCCTATGTCCCCAAAGAGAGAGAGAGAATTATGTGCATATTCGCTTAGGAAAAACACAATGATTTTAGAGGTCCGAAGTCATCAATTTCAGGCCAAGTCTCAAGTGTTCTAATTAATCATATTGTTTAATCAGAGCTTCAAGTTCAAGTTAAAAATAAAAAGACTATTTGTTAATTAATAGCAGGCCATTGTCAACTACTGTACCCACTAAACCTATTAGGATAATCAGATTAGAACTGAACAGACTTCAGACATCTCTTTATAAGCTACATCTATATAAGCACTCGGTATGATTAACTCCCCAAAATAAAAACCTCCTGATCTTGGCTTATAACACAATCTGTCAAGTGACGGATTTTCCCCTTTCAACATCTTTCACTCTAGTCGTGAAATGTAAAGATGGCCACATGAATTACCTATTCGAGGATAACAATTCACATTAAGGATCTTTTCTTTAAAACGTGGCCTTTTAGTCATGAATTTGGACTCAATTTAAGGATCACTTCACCTAGGAGGCATTTTATGGCTCTTTCCCACGGCCCCACTCCCCCCCACTATAATGCTCAGATAAAATTGAAAAGTTGCTCCTTTATACCCATTATAGCCAAAATACGCTGCTCTGTTTACCACTCAAACTGAAGGCAGGAGCCACCCTGATTCTTCTTCATGTTTCTGGTTGGTTTATACCATTGGATGAATACAATTATATATTTTTGATTTTGAACAAAAACCTGAGGAAGGATGATGTTCAAGCTCCTGGATAGGAAATATGCCTTATTTCTTCTAGGTCAAATCTCTATATATGACTTCTCATAGCTTTCCAGGTGATTAATTTCTGTTGTATGAATAAGAGATGCCATTGATTTAAAAATTAGTAATGTCTTCCTTCTCATAGTCATCATTTCGTTCTCTCAAGTAGAATTTCAGGTACATTAGACAATAGTGGCAATACTGGGCACTCATATTTTGCTCTATACTTTAATAGGAATGCCTGTAACATTTTACTATCATCGATGATACCTGCCGGTTGCTGGTAAATAGCCACTCTCAGGTCAAAGAAAGGCCATTCACACAGATCTTTATTGAGTGCCTTCTACGTATATGATTATGTGATGAACAGGGTCCCTATGCTTAGAGAGTTTATAATTTATTCCTGGTTTATTCGGTTTTCATTTTCAAGTAAGCAGAAGGCGTTGAATTTCTGTCTTCTCAGCATTAAAGATAATCATATAGCTTCCCTGAATTTAAAAAAAAAAACTATTTGGCCCTCTTTCTTTAAGATAATGTGTTGAGAGGTAGTTGTTGAAAAGAGTTCTAATTTAACACTAATATTCATCTGCCCTTTTTTTTTAAGACTTTTAAAATTTATTTATTTGACAGAGAGAGACACACAGAGAGAGGGAACACAAGCAGGGAGAGTGGGAGAGGGAGAAGCAGGCTTCCTGCGGAGCAGGGAGCCCGATGCAGGGCTCGATCCCAGGACCCTGGGATCATGACCTGAGCCGAAGGCAGACACTTAACCATCTGAGCCACCCAGGTGAACCTCATCTGCCTTTTAATATTGCCATTGGCAAACAATCATCAGTCTAATTGCTGTTACCTTGTAGGTAATGTTTTCTCTGCAGCTGCTTTTATGATATTTCATTATGTGTACTCTGAGGTTTTCTATGTTGTGTCCAGGTGGGGATTTAATTTTTTGTGTTGTTTGGGATTCATTCAGGTTCCTAAATCTAAAGACTGATTTTTTTGCACGTGCTTCAGAAACATTTTCAGCCATCACCTTCTCTAATATTGCACCTACCCCATGGCCTCTGTTACCTCCAGGAATTTCAATTAAGGATACATTTGACCTCCTCAGTCTTCCACATCTCTTACGTTCTCACCCATATTTTCCACCTAGCTCTGAATACAATTGCTTCAGACCTTTCTTCCAGTTCACTATTTTTGGCTGTGTCTAAGCTGCTGTCGATCTTTTTGTATTTATTTGTATTTATTTATTTGAGAGAGAGAGAGCACACGAGCCGGGGGAGAGGCAAAGGGAGAAGGAGAGAGAGAATCCTCAAGCAGATTCCCCACTGAGTGTGGAGCTGGATGCGGGGCTTGATCCCAAGACCCTGAGATCATGACCTGAGCTGAAATCAAGAGTCTGATGCTTAACTGACTGAGCCACCCAGAAATGTGACTGTATTGGGCTTCAAATCCAATTTTCACTTTTTTTTCGAGATTTTATTTGGTCCTTTTTTTCCCAGTCTAATTCTAAAAGTTTATTCCTTTGCCAAACTTTCTGTATTCTTTTTTTTAAAGATTTATTTATTTATTTTTAAAGAGAGAGGTGGGGGGAGGGAGAATCCCAAGCAGACTCCCCACTGTGTGGAGCCAGACATGGGGTTCGATCTCATGACCCTGAGATCATGACCTGAGCCGAAATCAAGAGGCACCCAGGCGTCCCTCAGGATTCTTATTTTCTAACATATTTGTTGTATGTTCTGTGTCTATTAGCTCCAGCCTCTGCCCTCTTTGGCCATTTGTTTCAGCTGACTCTGACTCATGGTGGCTTTTCTTTTACTTTTGGTGAATTCATGCTCCTTGGAATATCATTTGTGGGAATTCTCTGAAGCCAAAATAAAAGTGCATCAGAGAATGAGCACTTGTTTCTGCTGGGTGCTAAAAGGCTACCTCCTTGGCAACATTTTTAATTATTGCCCTGGGTTTTCTGAAGATCAAACATGGTGATGTGAATTCTGAGCCTAAACCCTTGTGAATACATGGCTATGTGTTCTTTTTCCTGCTCTCCCCAGAACAAAGCTAACAGGTAATATCTCTCCCAATTTGGGGTGGAATAGGAGGACAGAACCCTGCCTTTGACTCCAGTGCTGACTAATTCTTGTGAATTCTCACTGGAACTGCCTTACATTTTCCCCAACGTTTGAAATGTTCATACACATTCTATCTTAGTAAGCTATACTAGGAGGGATATCATTACTATCTAGTTTACCATAGTCCCAGAATCAGTAGTTCTTAATTTTAATCTAAGCCATTTCTGTATTCTTGGAATAAATCTCCCTGGGTCATGATGGAAACAGTACTTGAACCTGTTAAAGTAGGAGTTAATATTTAGGATTTTTCAAATATATTCATAAGTGGGATTAGTCTATCACCTTTTTAAATGCTAGTTTTATCAGACTTTTGTCAGAGACAGGCAGCTTCATCAAATTAATTGTGTAGCTTTTCAGGTTTTTCCATGCTCTTGAATAATTTAAACAACACTGGAATTAGTGGTTACTTGGAGGTTGTCTATTAAATTGATCATCCACCCCTTTCCCTACCACCCCACTCCCAACATTAATTTGACTTTTTCCAATGGCTACTAATTTATCCAAGTTTTCCAACTCTTGGCTCATTCCCTTCTCTCTCCATCTTTTTAAACTTATTCATAAAGATTTAAAGTTTCTAAAGCATATTTCTGGTTACATAGCCTCTCATTTCTAGGTGTATTTCTCCTCTCAATCAGACTGCTAAGCAATCTATGGTATATGATCTTTGGGATTTATGTTTTCTATTCTTTTTTAAATTTTCTAATTTAATCATTTTATTTTTCTTACTTCTTTCCTATTTGTCCTATTAAGCTTGCTTTTTCTTTAAAAAAAAATATTGAATGTTTAGTTTATTTGTTGGGTTTCTTATTCAATAATGAAAGCGTTTGTGGCTATAAATTTATTTCCAAAGCACAGGTTTTTTAAAAATTTCAGCTTTACTGAGGTATAATTGACAAAGATTTTAAAGACAAAGTGTACATTGTGATCTAACATACGTATACATTGGGGAAAAAAATCCCCCATCTAGTTAATTAATACACCCATCACCTCACATATTTATCTTTTTTCCCCCCAGTGAGAACAATGAACATCGGAGTAGAGCTATTTCTTTAATATCCTATCTTCACTTCCTCTGGATATATACCCAGAATTAGGATTGCTGGATCATATGCTAGTTCTATTTTTAATCTTTTGAGGACTCTCCATACTGTTTTCCATAGAGGCTGCATCAATTTACATTCCTACCAATAGTGTACAAGGGTTCCCTTTTTTCCACAGCCCCACCAGAACTTACATTGTCTTTTTGATAGTACTGTAGCCATTCTAATAGTTGTGCGGTGATATCTCATTGTGGTTTTGATTTGCATTTCCCTAATGCAATTAATGAAATTAAGCACCTTTTCATGTATCTGTTGGGCATCTGTATATCTTCTTTGGAAAAATGTCTATTCAGTTCCTCTGCCTATTTTTTAATTGGATTGATGCTTTGCTATTGAGTTGTACGAGTTCTTTATATATTTGCACATTAACCCCTTACCAGATAGGTGATTTGCAAATATTTTCTCCCTTCTGTAGGTTGCCTTTTCATTTTGTTGATGGTTTCCTTTGCTATGAAGAGGCATTTTAGTTTGATGTAGTCCCACTTGTTTATTTTTTATTTTGTTGCTTTTATGTTTGGTGTCAAATCATCATCAAGACTAATGTCAAGAAGTTTACCCCCTATGTTTTCTTCTAGTTTTATGGTTTCAGGTCTTATATTCAATCACTTTTTAAGTCGATTTTTGTGTATAGTATATGAAGGGAGTCCAGTTTTTAAGTTTTATTTATTTTTAAATTTTATTTATTTGAGAGTGAGTGAGCAAGTGCACAAGCAGGGAGAGTAGCAGGCAGAGGGAGAAGCAGGCTCCCCACTGAGCAGGGAGCCCTACGCAGGGCTCTATCCCAGGACCCTGGGATCATGACCTGAGCT